ACACTGAATAGCACTGAGATGGTAACCAAAATGCAAGTCATCCTTGCAGTGCAATCCCAAGCATGATTCAGTGGAACAAGATTGTGTGAAGCTTCAGTGATGTTTCATAATTAAGAATAAGACCCAAAGGGTGGCCTCAAGGGATCCATTTCTAGCCCCTTTCTCCCACTTCTGCAGATGCCTTCACTGGTGGTCACCTAACTCCTGTCCCCCAGGACATTTCCTGGCCATCAGAATTATGTGACAGAATGTGTCATTGAGGGAATCCTCAGAATGACATATTATAGTGTGGCTGTGTCATCTGTCCACAGCAGCAGGGATTGTAGCCCATTCAGTGCCCTGATCTGGAGGATGTTTCAGAGGCAATGTTTGAACAGTGATCAACTGGAGCAGAAGACCTCTGTGTTTTAAGTGTGGTGAGGTGACTGCACCAACAGGGACTCACAAAATGACTGGGCTCCAACTTGCTGCCCAATTTGTTACACTGTCTGAAGTAGACTTTCACAATGGGACTGGTGTTAGCTCTGTAAGTCCCATTTTGAGCAAAGATGCTTTGGGTTGCACTATAAAGACCAATTTGATTTCTAGAGGGTATCTTCAAACAACGTTCAAATTATAACCTTGTGTTTATTTGATGACAAGAATGTATCAGAAAAGATTATTGCATGTTGCAGTTATCATTACTTGAGACAAGTGAGGATGGCAGAGTTCTTGAAACCAGATCAAAAGATCTGGGACAATATGATCCACCTTCTATAATAAACAAAAGAGTAGATTGGAATTTATGTGAATTAATCAATTGTAGCCCACTCTCTTTTGGAGCTGCAAAAATTTTGATCAGGGTGCATGTGAATATATGATCTGGAAACTGAAATTATATAATTCCAGTTGAATTGAAAAGAACAATGAAAAGAGCACCCCCCCCCAAATGCTCATTCCTCTCCCCTCTGTAAGATGGGATAAACCTTTAATCTATGAGAGTGTATATTTTATTTGTGATAAATGACACAGGGAATTGTTGGATCAGATACTATTTATACTGTTCATTTTCTGTCAGTATGAATCTATATGTGATTGTTTCAATAGCTGCTGGTAAAAAAAATCACCGCCATTTTTATCTACAGAGTGTGCATGGTTAGATATGTATGTATTCAGTAGGTATGTGAAACTACATAATAGTCTGGGTCTGAAATAAGTAACAGTGAGGAAATATGGGCAACAATTTATTTGTCCAAATTGTTTTTCACATGTCTGGGCCACACAGAATGAAGTGATGGATGCTTGGTATGATAATGCTGACTACTATAGCAGATGAGAAGACCATACATGTTGACACTCCTTTCCATACAGATTTCCTCAAAGGGAAAACCAGCATAGTACAACAGACTAGAGATAATTTTTCTCTCTGCTGATCTTGGGGTTTGTTTTCTGCTTCTATAGTGTCATCTCACTCTAAAAGTTTAAAGGCATATAGGTTATTCTGTCTACCTTCTGCTTTTCTGCTTTATCAGACCTAGCTTGTCGTTTATTTTACAAAAAGTGAGTGTGTGTGTGTGAGAGAGAGAGAGAGATTGAGATTGATTGATTCTCAGCTCTGCAGGTGACAGTCATCTGAAGAAGTCTACACTGTGGTCCTATAAGGACAGAATAAACATATCCCTGCTCTTATCATTGGCTTTCTCATGTTGTTGCTGCTCCTCAACATTGTTAAAAAAACAGTAACAAGCTGCTCTACGCTCAGCTTCAACAATATTTGTAACTTCCATTTGCCTTATACTTTTGGCTAGGAGAGTATTTCACTAGTATTTCTCAGATGGCATTGGCAGTGAAGCATAGATGATAGAAGTAACGAAGGCAGCCAGTGAATAATAGATGTGGAAGATATGACATAGATTTATGATATGAGTGATGCACAGGTTTATCTTAGGGCTTAGTCCTCTGCAACCCCACTCAAATGATTTGAGTCTGGATCTAAAGAGGGTTCCAGTGGAAGATCATTAGACAAAATGTGCTCCCTAGCATTGTAGTAGTAGAGGGAAGATTGACCTATAGATATTTTTTTGGTTTTATATGTATTATTTAATTAAGCTATAACAGAATAACAGAATTTGAAGGGATTTTGGAGGACTTCTAGTTCAGCCCCTTCCTTAAGCAGGAAACCCTATACTATTTCAGACAAATTGTTCTCCAATCTCTTCTTAGAAACCTCGTGTTGGAACATCCATAACACAGCAGTCTTCTCAGGCATGAAGGATCCCAGAGCTACAGAAGGGACTGAAGTTTGCTTCCCAAGGTCAGAAGAACAACCTTGGAAACCAAATGCAGTATTAGGCTCTTCTCCCTTCTCTCCTTATCACTATCACTATTGGTGGTTTCCAGTGTTGGAAATCCCTTACGTTGGAAAGGTCTAAAACAGGAGTGTCCAACTCAAGGCTTGGGGGCCTGTGGGGTACTTCTATCTGGCCCATAGGGTCACCCTGGAAACAGCAAAGGACTGGCCGCTAGTGCTTCTGCCAGCAAAAATGGGCTCCCGAGCTCCTGTTTTCAGCTGCCCGGATCTGCTGCAATCCTTTGCCAATAAAAATGGACCTTGGGAGGCATTCTGAGCTCCATTTTCACTGGCAGAGGGTTGCAGGTCGTGGAAGCCAAAAACAGAGCTCAGGAGCCCGTTTTCACTGGCAGAGCGCTCGGGCCACCACAGGGGCCAACAGGAGTGATGTTGACCCCCCCCCCGAGGTCAAACACTGCGGCCCTTAATGAAATAAGTTTGACACCCCTGATCTAAAAGCATTGTGCAATCAGAGTTGGGCTGGGGGGGGCGGGCGCAGGGGAATGAGTTTAAGAGAGAAATGCATCTCCCATTTATTTCTATCCTGGTGGAACTACATCATTGGGCAATTTTGGACTCTCCCAGTCTTAACACAAAATTACATTTTATGTCATTGCATAAAATGAAAACATTTACTCGAGAGGAAAACAGCCTCTTTGAGCTCTTCAGGGAATTTTTTTAAAAAAATAAATAGCTCGTTTCCTAAGCTCAATCTGGGCACTAAATCAAGTTTGGATTACTCTCCAGTGTACCGAACAGAATTTCCTCCACTGTGCAGTGTGAACTCCCTCCCTCTCCCAGAATGTTATGCCAATGCAACTCACTTTGCGGTGCCACTCACTTGTTCTGAGTGTTTGTGTATATGTGGCTGAGTTGCTTGGGCTTACTCCTCCCAATCAACAAATGCCATTTCTTTAAGCTAAAGACAGTTGTTTGATGCATGCGTACGTTTGGTGTGCCAGGATGAAGACACGAGCCAATGTTAGCAGTATTTAGAACCATCGCTTTAGGTTTCAACAAAAAACATCACCTGGTAAGTTTTGGAAATATTTCAAATAAAAATCCACCATGTTGTGAAATATTCAGTGTTGAAGAGATACTGTAGACATGCTTATATTGTCACTGACAAACTAGTCACAATATAGTAATGCATTGGTAATATAGTTTAGAAATCTGTGAAATTTTCCTGGATGCACACACAGCAAATTCATTATTGATCATTTGTAACATGGGGTATAAAAGTGGCATCACTTGGTCAATTCTCTTGGATTTTTCTCTTAAAAGATGGAAAATACTACACTCTTTGAAGCAGCTGTAAGGTTGCAACCACCCAAGTTCTTGGCATTGTCTTTAATTGAAGAAGCTGTAATTCAATGTACTAAAGATTCCATCTGTTTGCATTGCTTATTGTTAAAAGTGTCATTAAACTTGTTTATTACCCACCGTGAAGACAAAGTGTATTTTTACTAGTCCTGTATTTTTCCTCTTCATAGGAGATTTGTCAGGCTGGTAACAATATCATTAGTAGTGCAACTAGTAAATAATTCTCAGAGTTGTGCAGAGATTCAGATACAGAATTGGGATCATGCGCATAATCTATATCCCAAAAATTTAATACAGCCAGGATTTTCTCCAGTCATGTGACTACCTTTTGCAGAGGATATATGAGGAGAGAAATGTGTTTGGTTTAAAGTATTTCCTCCAGATGCCAAGTGACCCCCCATATCACATTTTGCCCTTTAATTTCAAGCCTAGCATGTTGTTTTAGTAAATAGGGGAAAAAAATACTCAATAGTTGGAACGATTTATGACCCCCCCCAAAAGGAGTTATTGGGAATTATTTCAACATAAAACACCCCAGAGTTGTTCTAATTGCATTTTCTCTCTTCACAAGATTTGTAGATTTCGAGTTAATGAAAAAGCCTTTACTAATGCAGTTATGTAATGGTTTTAATAGTTGTAGCACCTTTTGGCTTAGTGGACTTTATGAATCAGTTTAATCAGTAACCATGAGTAAGCAAAGTAAGCATGAAGAGTCTCAAAAGTATTCTAAATCCAATCGTGTGGTTTATTCAATTATCTTTGCTGAAAGTGATCTTAATTTAGCATGAAACAGCACACCAATCTGAACAGATGCCATTTCAACACTTTCAGCACAGAAATTACCGGTAGTAATTGGCAGGTAGGACTAGGTCCCTTATGTTCTTTTCTAATTATAACAAACTAAAAATTCTCCAGTGTAGCTGTATATTGCAACACAGTGGCTGGTTTTGCTTTAAGACCTAAGTGGTTTACAGATCCTTTTGTAATGGCTGAATTCACACCAAAAAAACACATTATGGCTTAGTGCAGTGTTTCTCAACCTTGGCAACTTGAAGATGTCCGGACTTCAACTCCCAGAATTCCCCAGCCAGCGAATGCTGGCTGGGGAATTCTGGGAGTTGAAGTCCGGACATCTTCAAGTTGCCAAGGTTGAGAAACACTGGCTTAGTGTGCTGTGAAAACGCATCCTTTAGTAGAGAGCAGTTCCATTACTTTTGAAGACAAAACATGAATGCTTACAGTGCACGTAAATTACATTTACACATTACTCAGCCTTCTGGATCGCGATATTTTCCAAGAAATGTAACCTCTTTCTCTAAATAAGTATCTTGCAAAAAAGATGGCATTCTTTAATTTTTCAATAAGGCCAATCAATTTATTTAAGTCCATCTACTTTCACATATTTATACAGTATAAAATAATGATCCCTATCGGTACTTAAGGTTGAAATATACCCTACAAATGTATTGCAACTGGTCATTAAAATGCAAGTCAAAAGGAGCACATGGTATACAAAATAAATATGTAAATATAACCCCTGGATAGTATTTCTAAAAACATTCATTTTACCAAACGGAAGAAATGACATAAAGCTCTTACTACAGAGTTTACCTTTAAAAAATTATATATAGGAACTTTTTATTGCTTTTCCTTCTGAACAAATAAAATATTGGGGCAAGAATTTGAAAAGCAAATATAGAAAAGTTGGCCTAAATTATTCCTCCCCTCTACAAAGTGATTTTGAAGTTGATGTAAGGAAAGAGGAAATTTTGAGGATGCACAACTAAACGAATCCAAAACTTTACCAAAGGGTACAACCAATATTCAAAATCGCAAGAATAAATCAACTTTGAAAAGTAACGGAGTAAAAGCAGCTGGCATATTCTCTTTATCCACAAATGCCTTGAGGAAAATGGTATCTTGCATGCCAAGATAACTTCTGTGAAAATCCTGTCCCTTAAGACAAAACAATTGTGCCTCTCTCAAATTTACCACATTCTTTTGTCATGAAGAGTCCAGGGCCCAACACACACATTACTAGTTGCACCAATTTCTCAAAGGGGCAGAAAATGCCTAAAAAGATTGATAATAAATCTTTTGTGAGCAGATTTCTACTTTCGAAAGGGGATTTCCCCCTACTTTGTTGTCTTCTGCATCTTGTAGCTCTCTGAAAGCTGCTGCATCTTTTAAGGTTCCCACAAACTTCCAAAGAAAATTTGGGAGTGCACATGGAATGACAGAAACTGCAACGCTTTAACTTACACCTTAGTTCCCCAATGTAGAAAGACACCACGAAATTCGCAATACATGTGATTTGGAAAGAAACATACAACAAGTTGGTATTTTTTGAAGTCTTAAATAATACTAAGCATAGTTTCTGAATATAACAATTAAAACCCAGAATACTAGCAAATTCAGGATATAGGTGGAATTTCAGATTCACATAGGCTTTGGCACTTCTTATTTCCTGATTTTAAAAGTAAAAAAGGCACATTACTGATGCTTTTTGAGTTAAAAGTTTTCATCCTGCATTCTGTGTGATATAGGAAACTTACTTTCACATTTGGAGCAACTATTTTATCTTGGTTACACTGCAGGGTTTCCTGAGCTATGAGCACTGAAACATAATTGGGTGAATATATTTGTAAAAATCTACAGGTTTGCAAATAGGTCTTCCTATCTAAATTTCTCTTTTGCATTGCTTAGAATGTCAGCCAAAATTATAACTTAATTTGCCACAAGAGATGGACGTGTTTCGTGCAGACATAAATCCAAAGCAGGAAAATTACATCCAGAATATTTCAGGTACCACTGCCAGAAATCTGATGATTTTAACTTTCTTAATTCAAAATATTAATATAATGGGGCAAAGCAAGAAAATATACAATAAATTATCTACAACAAGATGTGTCCCATCTTTAAAAAGACACCATTTTTAACATCTTGGAGCAATCTGTTCTGCCCGTGCATTTTTTCAAGATATAGAACACTCTTCTCCATACGCAAATACCAGTAAGTAGAACACAGCAGCAACTGGGAAATAACTTCTGGCAGGCGGGGGGTGGGGGAACCAAGAACCATGTGCAGTACCTTCTAAAGAGAGATTCTGGGAAAAGAATGTACAGCAGTGAGAAGACACCTAGGTGGATGCCATTAAGATGATGAATTTATAAAACAGGTTGGGAACCTATAAATCTCTAGATGTTGCCAGATAACAATTCTCAAGTCTCATTAATACGAATGCTGGTTGGCACTGTGACCTGTAATTTAGCATTATCTATGGAAAGCTTTCAGTTCCTTACCTCTGTAGTAGACATCACTATCAAATGGACAGATCAGTAGGGACTGAAGAATTTAGATCTAGAACAAAGCTGCAATTTTTTAAAAACCTGTTTCCAAGTACACCCCCTCCCCACAAAAAAAGAAGTAATCTGTTATATTGATTACATTATTTTAAGGGTGCTCCATTTCTTTTACAAAGCTATGTCAAAATCCAAATTGTAGGGACAAACAAGGTGGTTTTCCCTTTCTCGCCCTTTGTGGTGATTGTACACATCAGTTCTGGAGAACAGCCAAAGCATTGATTGGCTGCAGATTTTTGACAGGTGCAAAAGGGTTAATTGAGGGAGGAGAAATCCAGGACTTCATTGCAACAGCCAAGGGGGCATAGTTGGATTCAAAGGGTGATTTTTCTGAATTCCATCAGAAAAGCAGTTCTGCAGTTTACAAAAACAGTGCTAGGTATTTCCTACCATCTGAGATTTCTTTGAAAAAAAATTATACTGCATAATGTATTAGACCCACAGAGAGAGAGATTGTGGTGCACTATTTCACATTCTTCTGCATACAATATGAAAACAATGTTAAATAAGATATTTCTTTAAAAAGGAAACTAACAGGATATAATGCCCAGAAGAAAAGGAAAAAAAAGAAAAATCTGGACTCAAACAGAACCTGCATTTCCTTTTATAGTGACTGTGATCTGGACCCTACTTTACATTATGCAGATAAAACATAAAGAGAGCACTTTTCTCTTTGACAAATGGGCTAAGTACTGACTTCATCCATTTAAATTCAACTAATTTGGGTAGAGCACAGGATTCTAACAGCACCTTTTTTTTACAGGTTACTGTACTACTTTAGTTTTACACAATATAAAGTAACTTTTCCCTTGTGGAACTTCTCCACTCAACTGATGCAACCTATTCCGTGTTCACCAAGTTGTGAAGAGGCGGCTGAAGTGAGTCTGTCTGGGCGTGCAACACTGTCAGATCATGCAAAGCTGTAGCTATGGGGGCTTCTTGGGACCCCCCTACAGGCCTCAATTTACAGTCTGTTACAGAGGAAGATCCATTTTCATGCCCGACAGTCATGCTGTCTTGAACAGCCATCAAACTTTGATAGTGCCCATTCTCAGAGAATGGCAGCAGCTTTTCTGATAACTTGGGACGAGGTTCATCGTATTCCTCATCAGGAACCTCAGTCTTATGATCCTCATCATTCTTTGAAGCACCTTCAATAACTACAAGGAAAGACTTCCAGGGTGTGTTCTTATCATGAATCTATTAAAGAAAAAAGATTGCCCATATGAAATCACTCATTAGTACCCACTGGATTCTACAGCACTTTCTATAGTCTGAAAGGCTGTAACAAACCAACCCATTCACAGAGCTTTAAAACTCTGATACAGTACGGAGGAGATTCTTGGTTAAGTAATAGCTAACCTATAGCTATTCATTCAAATATAGCAGAATATTTTGGAGAATTGGTTTATATTCAAGTGACAAAGTTTACAGTGAAGAAACTGTAGAATTCGGGGAAGAACAGTGGCAATTAAAATGTTGAGATAGCAAGAAGCGGGACACATTTTTCCCAAGTGAAGGGAAGGCGCGAAACATTACAAGCAAACTAAAAATAATCTCAAATAGTAGAACCTGCCTGCGCATTCGTTTATGTGTAAATTGTTTTCTCCTTCAAGGAAAAGCTTGTGGGCTTTTTGATGGCAAAGATCAGGCTCTATATTTGAAACTCGGTGTCACATTTCTTAATTGTGTTGGGATGAGTTTTTGTGGATGTTCAAAACCAAAATCAAAATTGTCACTGTAATTCCGAACAGCCTGATTTGGCAGATGTCACCAATCAGAAACCCAACCATCAATAAGGAAGGTATTTTATCAATAGAAATCGAAATACCCTCTGCTAATATCTGAAAGGTTCCCATTTTTTTAATCTGCATAAAATGCTCATCCATGAAAAGTTCTTACTTTAATCTCATTATCCAAGGCCACCATATATATCAGCGGTTCTCAACCTGTGGGTCGCGACCCCTTTGGGGGTCAAACGACCTTTTCACAGGGGTCACCTAAGACCATTGGAACTCTTTTAACTTTTTAGACTAAAGCGTGCTGTGTCGCTCTCTCTCGCGCACACACATGCATACGCGCACACACCCACAAATACATGCAGGCGCACACACAGGGAAGTAGGAGGAGAAACGCGAACGTAAAAAAAAGGGAGTCTATATGTGGGGGGGAAGGGGGGGAAGAAATTGGCTTTCGGTTATTGGGTTCCAAGCCAATCAGAGCTGAGGGGCGGGGTTTTGGCACGAGAGCGTTGGTTCGGGGTCACTACAACTTAAGGAACTGTATTAAAGGGTCACGGCATTAAGAAGGTTGAGAACCGCTGATATATATAATATTGTGGGATCCATACAAGGTAACCTTTCCTATCCTTTAATGCAACAATAACAATAACTGGAAGTACACAAAAAGCAATTTTCACAGAAGTGCCCATTTCCCCCTTACTGAGGTGTGACGCCGAAGAGTAGACTTGTCGGTAAATGTCCGCCCACAGGCATTGCACATGAATGGCTTCTCTCCTGTGTGGATCCGATGATGACGTTGCAGAGCATTGAGTTGAGTAAACTGTTTGCCACACTGATCACAGCAGTATGGACGCTCACCTGTAAGATAAAGCACCTACAAAAATCAGGGGAAGTTTTGCCAATGAGATGCACGAATAACCTGACAGAAAGCTTTGGTTACACTGCCACCTTGCTGAGGTTGTGCTTCTCAGCATATTTACACCTCCAAATAAAAGCAAAAACAAAATGTTACCAATTGGGGATTATAGAAAAAGAATAGTCCTAATCTCTTGAAGAGAGAATCTGGAGAATCTTTTCAAAAGATGCAAAGAATATTAGCTGGTGATGCAGTTAAGATTGCAATGAAATAGATCTTTATATACTTTAAAGAAGAAAACGCCTAAAGGTCTGAAGAACAGAATTTCAGGGAATAATATATGAAAGCTAAACAGGAGTTGGAGAATTTGCAGGTATGCAAACACAACACTAACAACCCCAAATTGTTAAAGCTATAAAAAGGAGCAGGAATCAGTGAAGGTCATAAGCAGAGGAACAGATTTATAGATTCATGTGTTTTAAAAAAATGAAGAAGTAAACAAAGGCAGACAAAGTTTACTTTTAGGGACAAGAAATAAAAGCAATCAAGTAGAGGAAAACGAGACAAAAGTACACCTATTATTTTCTCAAGAGTTCAAAGTATAAAAATTAGATTCAAAGACATTGGGAATATTTATAGTGCTGCTTAAAAGTTGGCGAGACCATTTGAATTTTTAATATTTCTGCATAAATAACCTAAAATATTATATCTTCTTTACATAAGTTCTAAAACTAAATAACAATACCTCAAGAAAACAGTCAAAAATATGAAATCTGGAATTTCAAGCTGCTGAAGATAAGAGTATGCTTCTAGATTGTGTATGCCAGATTCAAACAATCTCAAATATTACATTTGAAACAATTATTTCTCACAATCAATTTGAACTCAGCTACAGTTTGTTCGACGTAAGAGATTACAACAGTCTGATTCATAAAGCCACAAATGATGATTTACAAATCACTGGGATTGGCTGGGCAAAAACCCAACACAATATGGTATAATTCAGTATAGTAGTGAATTCAGGCTGAAACACAGGCAATCTGGTGATCTGGCAGATAGCACTATGGAAACCTGGAAATTGTAAAAGATGCTACCATCACTGATAAAACTAAGGGCTACAAGAGGATTGGCATCAGCTAGCAAGAAAGCTTCAGAGAACACTCTTAAATTTTTTTAAAAAAAGTTTTAAAGCCAAACATTTTCCTAAATTGTTTTTGTAGCTTCCTACCTGTATGAACTTTGATGTGCTGATAGAGTGAATTCCTCTGCGCAAATGTCCTGAAGCAAATTTCACATTTAAAGGGCTTGGATCCAGTGTGGATTCGATTATGGTGTTTCAAATACTCCTTGGAGGCAAAGCTCTTCCCACATGTCTCACACATGAAAGGCCGCTCTCCTAGAGCATAAAGGAATTGGAAGGGGGAAAAAGCAGGAAGACTGTTTTTTACTGATGCCAAGTTCAACCCACACACATGAATATGAGTTTGCACACAAGGCCATCCACTTCTGCTTTGTCTGTCATAGTTCTGGAATAGTTATAGTTAAGTAATAGTTATAGTTAAGAGTGGTGCAGTGGTTAGAGTGGCGCAGTGGTTAGAGTGCAATACTGCAGGATACTTCTGCTGATCACCAGCTGCTAGCAGTTTGGCAGTTCGAATCTCACCAGGCTCAAGGTTCTCAGCCTTCCATCCTTTCGAGGTGAGTAAAATGAGGACCCAGATTGTTGGGGGCAATAGGCTGACTCTGTAAAATGGCCTAGAGAGGGCTGTAAAAGCACTGTGACGCAGTATATAAGTCTTAAGTGCTAGTGTTAGTTATAAAAAAACAAGTTCTCCTTGAATATTTTATACTGACATCTCTACAAAGTTAACGTGGCCAAAAAGATTTCTCGGAAATGTATCCCATAATTAATGATGGATGGATGGAGAACTTTTTATACTCAACATTTTTAAAAGTATGAAATAAAAATACTTCGCAAAACAGTTCTTACTTCAGAGTGACACGTAATTAGATTCATTAGATTTTTATAGTGGCTACAAAAAGCCTACTATTATCTCATACTCAAAATTATTGTAGGATTTAAGATTAACATGAGATTGAGATAAAACCACAGCAATATTGGATACTGGATCCAACTTGGCAGTTAGCTAATGGAGATGCAGTTTGTACGTATGCTTGATTATGGAGTTATGAAGAATAGCAAGATTGCCAATACATATCCCTTCTTAACACAATAATACATTGTGGCATTTCCAACAGCACATATCTTTCTGTGCATTGTTTTAATGTAAACAAAAAAAAGAGCTTATCTTCTCTTGTTGGTTTAGCAGAATCTCATTAATGCGACTAAAGTAGAAAATAAGGCTGTTTTCACATCATACACTGAACTGCGAACTAGCCAACTATGGTTTAGGCTAGCACAACTTAGGAATCTCTTCATAAGATTTTAATGGTTTCAGGTTAAAAAAAACCCATCTATCCAACTGGGTTACCTGAATGAATTAGGATTCAGTTATCCGTGGGACAACATTTTATGTGAACAAAAGATATTCTTATTCGCTAGTATAATTATTTCATGGTTTGGTGATACTGCTAACAGGAAAATCTCTAAATAACAAATCATAACATTTAACAAGATATAATAACAACCTACTCTTATCATTTGATCGGTTTCTTGAAAGTGGAAAACTGAATTTCTATTGATCCCAATAATAGCTCTGAGCCAAATAGTTCTGGAAAACAGACTGGACTATCCAGAGTAAAGGTATACAACATTTTTTCTAAACTAATGAGAACCAGGTAATAATTTTAAATTGACACAAGAATAAAATTTGATAGCCATTGATCTTCAAGAACATTAACCTTAACCCCGTCAGCTCATACGTATAGTAATAACATACATCAAAACAGATTATACATTGCACATATCAGTCACTGAATAAAAAAAAATGGAGTGTAAAAATGCAGTATTATCCTACTACCTGTATGGCACCTTTTATGGTATATAAGCATGTGATTTTGTGTAAATTTTGCTCCACAATCATCACAAACAAATGGTTTTTCGCCTGTGTGGATTCTGAAATAAGAGAAGAATAACACAAATCAGGACATGTATTATATTTGCTCCTCAGCATCACTGAGACATAAATCAGTGGTTAGCAATCAATGGCATTTACTAGGATGACTCTTAAGATTTCCAGTCTAGAATAATGATCTCTAATACTGACTGGGAAATGTTATACCTAGCGTATCACTTGTGCATGATGTTGAATGGCAGGGTGAGATTATTTCACGTTAAAAAGACTTTTTTAAAAGCAAAATTCAGAGAATAACAGTCTAGGCTTAAGTCTAGGCATATTTCCCCTCAAAAGAGAAGACACCAGAAATAAATTTCAAAATGGACAAGAGAATGGTCAAACGAAAAATCATTTTCTTAAAATCAAAAGCAACAGTGGTCTAAATTAACCTGCAATAAAAAGGGAACAAACGTGATTAAAATTTAACTTGGGAAATGAATCACAACTGAAAATTAAACTTTCAGATTAATGTCTTTTTGTGTTTAGTACCACAAATATTGCAAATACTGCAAATATTTCACTTTTCAAAAGCTGGGAAAAATTACTTACAGAAGCTATATATCAAAAGCATTTTGATTCTCTTAAATAAAAAAAAAATACTAGTGCATGTGGATTATAGGTCACTTTCTCTCCGAATTCAGGTAGTATTTCATACTCTGCCCTTAAAATAACGATTATTCCTGAATCAAGAAGCATGAAGGACCAAAATGTTCCTATAACTTTGTAATCAAATTCCACCACAGATATCTGCTTTAGGAATAGAGGTGACGTATCTAAACCCCATTAAATTCTCCATTTTTCTCTCCTACCTTACAAGGGTTGAATGAAAAGCAAGGCTTCCGATGTTACATAAGTTAACAATGGTGATAATACTAGTGTAGTAGATGTTAGATATTTCCTTCAGCATTTCCTACCCCGCCCCCATTTCGTAAAATGGAAGCCTGCTGAGATTGCACTTTTTAAGTTTTGATTGCCAAAGGAATCCCTCCAACTGAAATGCACAACAAATGTTGATTGTTGGGGGTGATTATTGCTTTGATATGCCTACTCCACATAGCTGAGCCAAAAAAGGTACAGATGGGAAAGGTTTATTTGTATAATCAAGAACAAAGTACCATAGATAAGCTATGACAGCAACTAGCGGGAGCTTCACATGAGAAAGGTTGATAAACACATCAAAGAGAATTGGTGAATCAGTCAAAGGGACACAACCATAGCATTGTAACAGGAATGTGTGGGTCAGTCACATCACTGATATACTTTAATATATCAGTAACGTGACCCACATAACGTGCAAGATGCATTCCTCTCATGCTGATAGCAAAGACAAAAGCTTTCAAGGGTTGAAATTTGCCAGCAATCATTGTCATATTGTAAGAATGAAGATAATGGAAAAGTTTCTTCACTGTGTTATGAACTTCAGTGAAACATGGGCATGTCAATGAGGTTCAGAAATGAAACATCGGTCCATGGAATATCATTACAAAATTTTACCTTGGGAAAAAAAAAATCAAAACACAGGCTTTGTCAGGAAAACATAGTTACCGCTTTTCTGTCTACTTATGTGGCATTATTTGTGTGTTCCTTGAACCTAGCACCACTATCAACTCAAAATGCCGAAAACCCACCCAATTAAATAGCGTTTGGAAGCACAAGGAGATATGAATGCAACTCTGTAGGCGTCAACCCCTAGGCCTTGTCCATGGGCCACCCAAGAGACAATGGCAAAGCTTGACCTCACTGCATTAGCCGATCTGCAATATAGTCCAGACTTGGAATCATGCAACTTCCACCTTTCCCCACAATCGAAAGAATACCTTCTTAGGCATCTCTCTAACTCAAATGAAGAAGGGGGAAAGACTATTGGGACTAGGCCAAAGACACATTTTTTGTGACTGTTTTAAGAAGCTTGAAGTTTTAAGAAGCTGAGCCGAGGTGGCGCAGTGGTTAAATGCAGCACTCCAGGCTACTTCAGCTGACTGCAGTTTAGCAGTTCGGC